CCCAGCTATGACCTGTATACCCATAAGTTTGCTGCTGTCTTCACTGCCTCGTTTGGGCCCCAGCTATGACCTGTATACCCATAAGTTTGCTGCTGTCTTCACTGCCTCGTTTGGGCCCCAGCTATGACCTGTATACCCATAAGTTTGCTGCTGTCTTCACTGCCTCGTTTGGGCCCCAGCTATGACCTGTATACCCATAAGTTTGCTGCTGTCTTCACTGCCTTATTTGGGCCCCAGCTATGACCTTCTAACAGGACTAAGATATCATACACTTATTCATGAAGTGGAAGACAGAGAAAGATGGTGGGTTTTGTGTTCTAGTGCTTGCATCGATAAACCTCCATGACCCTAACGGGTCAAGGGTTATGTTACAACCTTTTGGGACTGACATAGTAAATGACTTGCATTGTTACCTGCAGTGGTTTCCGTTTGGGTGTTGGGTGTGTTGACAATGAAAACCTTGTGGAGGAGACATGACGAACTGAAGCCTCATTTTGAAGCCAATCCACATGTGCTACACGGAATCATGGCCTGATTACATCCTGATTACATCCTGATTACATCCTGATGTGTCTGTCAACAGACAGAGAACGTCCGGTTCTGCACAGCCTGCCAGTTTCTGAGCTTGGAGAAGGGAAGTGGAACTCTGCACTGGTTCCCATGAAAATTATACTTCAGTTCCAGATTGCATAACAAGTTGCTACAGCAACCTCACTTTGATCCATGCAAGCTCTTTGCAGGGTTCACACAACCTGAATCCCAGTGCAAAGGGCTTTGAAACTGAACCTAAGTTCTCCAGAAGATTTTCCAACCAATCAGCCGTTATTGATAGTCAGTTAACAGAAACAAGATCACAGCACTTTTACATCCATAAGTGTTCTCACTCTCTCAGCAGATATCAAAGTGTATTTACAGTCTGGAATCTCATCTCTTTATAGATGGTATTGCTTCTCTTTACAGTCTGGTGTCCTGTTCTATAGTCTGGTGTCTCATCTGTTTATAGTCTGATGTCCTGTTCTATAGTCTAATGTCTCATCTGTTTATAGTCTGATGTCCTGTTCTATAGTCTAATGTCTCATCTGTTTATAGTCTGATGTCCTGTTCTATAGTCTAATGTCTCATCTGTTTACAGTCTGATGTCCTGTTCTATAGTCTAATGTCTCATCTGTTTATAGTCTGATGTCCTGTTCTATAGTCTAATGTCTCATCTGTTTATAGTCTGATGTCCCTGTTCTATAGTCTCAATGTCTCATCTGTTTATAGTCTGGTGTCCTGTTCTATAGGTCTAATGTCTCATCTGTTTATAGTCTGATGTTCCTGTTCTATAGTCTAATGTCTCATCTGTTTACAGTCTGGTGTCCTGTTCTATAGTCTAATGTCTTCATCTGTTTATAGTCTGGTGTCCTGTTTATAGTCTAATGTCTCATCTGTTTTATAGTCTGGTGTCCTGTTCTATAGTCTAATGTCTCATCTTGTTTATAGTCTGGTGTCCTGTTCTATAGTCTAAGTCTCACTCTGTTTATAGTCTGGTGTCCTGTTCTATAGTCTAATGTCTCATCTGTTTATAGTCTGATGTCCTGTTCTATAGTCTAATGTCTCATCTGTTTATAGTCTGGTGTCCTGTTCTATAGTCTAATGTCTCATCTGTTTATAGTCTGGTGTCCTGTTCTATAGTCTAATGTCTCATCTGTTTATAGTCTGATGTCCTGTTCTATAGTCTGGTGTCCTGTTCTATAGTCTAATGTCTCATCTGTTTATAGTCTGGTGTCCTGTTCTATAGTCTGGTGTCCTGTTCTATAGTATGGTGTCATGTTCTATAGTCTAATGTCATCCATCTGTTTATAGTTGGTGTCCTGTTCTATAGTCTAATGTCTCATCTGTTTATAGTCTGGTGTCCTGTTCTATAGTCTAATGTCTCATCTGTTTTATAGTCTGATGTCCTGTTCTATAGTCTGGTGTCCTGTTCTATAGTCTAATGTCTCATCTGTTATAGTCTTGGTGTCCTGTTCTATAGTCTGGTGTCCATGTTCTATAGTCTCTGGTGTTCTATAGTCTGGTGTCCTGTTCTATAGTCTGGTGTCCTGTTCTATAGTCTGGTGTCCTGTTCTATAGTCCTGGTGTCTGTGTCCTATAGTCTGGTGGTGGTGTCCTGTTCTATAGTCTGGTGTCCTGTTCTATAGTCTGGTCTCATCTGTTTATAGTCTGGTGTCCTGTTCTATAGTCTAATGTCATCTGTTTATAGTCTGGTGTCCTGTTCTATAGTCTAATGTCCTCATCTGTCTATAGTCTCCTGTTCTAGTCTAATGTCTATAGTCTGTCTGGTGTCCTGTTCTATAGTCTAATGTCTCATCTGTTTATAGTCTGGTGTCCTGTTCTATAGTCTAAATGTCTATAGTCTGTTCTATAGTCTGGTGTCCTGTTCTATAGTCTGGTGTCCTGTTCTATAGTCTGGTGTCCTGTTCTATAGTCTAATGTCTCATCTGTTTATAGTCTGGTGTCCTGTTCTATAGTCTAATGTCTCATCTGTTTATAGTCTGGTGTCCTGTTCTATAGTCTGGTCTATAGTCTGGTGTCCTGTTCTATAGTCTAGTCTCTTATAGTCTGGTGTCCTGTTCTATAGTCTGGTGTCCTGTTCTATAGTCTGGTGTCATCTGTTTATAGTCTGGTGTCCTGTTCTATAGTCTAATGTCTCATCTGTTTATAGTCTGATGTCTTGTTCTATAGTCTGGTGTCCTGTTCTATAGTCTGGTGTCCTGTTCTATAGTCTAATGTCTCATCTGTTTATAGTCTGGTGTCCTGTTCTATAGTCTGATGTCCTGTTCTATAGTCTAATGTCTCATCTGTTTATAGTCTGGTGTCCTGTTCTATAGTCTAATGTCTCATCTGTTTATAGTCTGATGTCCTGTTCTATAGTCTGGTGTCCTGTTCTATAGTCTGGTGTCCTGTTCTATAGTCTAATGTCTCATCTGTTTATAGTCTGATGTCCTGTTCTATAGTCTGGTGTCCTGTTCTATAGTCTGGTGTCCTGTTCTATAGTCTAATGTCTCATCTGTTTATAGTCTGGTGTCCTGTTCTATAGTCTAATGTCTCATCTGTTTATAGTCTGGTGTCCTGTTCTATAGTCTAATGTCTCATCTGTTTATAGTCTGATGTCCTGTTCTATAGTCTGGTGTCCTGTTCTATAGTCTGGTGTCCTGTTCTATAGTCTGGTGTCTCATCTGTTTATAGTCTGATGTCCTGTTCTATAGTCTGGTGTCCTGTTCTATAGTCTGGTGTCCTGTTCTATAGTCTAATGTCTCATCTGTTTATAGTCTGATGTCCTGTTCTATAGTCTGGTGTCCTGTTCTATAGTCTGGTGTCCTGTTCTATAGTCTGGTGTCTCATCTGTTTATAGTCTGATGTGCTGTTCTATAGTCTGATGTCTCATCTGTTTATAGTCTGATGTCCTGTTCTATAGTCTAATGTCTCATCTGTTTATAGTCTGATGTCCTGTTCTATAGTCTAATGTCTCATCTGTTTATAGTCTGATGTCCTGTTCTATAGTCTAATGTCTCATCTGTTTATAGTCTGATGTCCTGTTCTATAGTCTAATGTCTCATCTGTTTATAGTCTGATGTCCTGTTCTATAGTCTAATGTCTCATCTGTTTATAGTCTGATGTCCTGTTCTATAGTCTAATGTCTCATCTGTTTATAGTCTGATGTCCTGTTCTATAGTCTAATGTCTCATCTGTTTATAGTCTGATGTCCTGTTCTATAGTCTAATGTCTCATCTGTTTATAGTCTGATGTCCTGTTCTATAGTCTAATGTCTCATCTGTTTATAGTCTGATGTCCTGTTCTATAGTCTAATGTCTCATCTGTTTATAGTCTGATGTCCTGTTCTATAGTCTGATGTCTCATCTGTTTATAGTCTGATGTCCTGTTTATAGTCTAGTCATCTGATGTCTGATGTCCTGTTCTATAGTCTAATGTCTCATCTGTTTATAGTCTGGTGTCCTGTTCTATAGTCTAATGTCTCATCTGTTTATAGTCTGATGTCCTGTTCTATAGTCTAATGTCTCATCTGTTTATAGTCTGATGTCCTGTTCTATAGTCTAATGTCTCATCTGTTTATAGTCTGATGTCCTGTTCTATAGTCTAATGTCTCATCTGTTTATAGTCTGATGTCCTGTTCTATAGTCTAATGTCTCATCTGTTTATAGTCTGGTGTCCTGTTCTATAGTCTGGTGTCCTGTTCTATAGTCTGGTGTCTCATCTGTTTATAGTCTGGTGTCCTGTTCTATAGTCTGATGTCTCATCTGTTTATAGTCTGGTGTCCTGTTCTATAGTCTGATGTCTCATCTGTTTATAGTCTGGTGTCCTGTTCTATGGTATGGTGTCTCATCTGTTCATAGTCTGGTGTCCTGTTTATAGTATGGTGTCTCATCTGGTCATAGTCTGGGAACTCATCTGTTTATAGTCAGTTGTCCTTTTTATAGTCCGACATCTCATCTGTTTATAGTCTGATATCGCTTCTTTTTCCAGTCTAGTGTCCTGTTTATAGTCTGACATCTCATCTGTTTACAGTCTGAAATCGCTTCTTCTTCTTGTCTGGAATCTCTTGTTTATAGTCTAACATTGCTTCTTTCTATAGTCTGGAATCTCATCCGTTTATAGGGTGTAATAGTATCACATCATTTCTGTTTATAGTGTGACATCACTTCTGTTTATAATGTGACATCACTTCTGTTTATAAGGTATCACCACTTCTATTTATAATGTGACATTACTTCTGTTTATAATGTGACATCACTTCTGTTTATAGTGACATCTCTGTTTAAGGTGTCACCTCTCATCTGTTTACATGCTGACCTCTCATCTGTTTACATGCTGGCCTCACATCCGTTTATTATGTGGCAGCACACTTTGTTTACAGGCCCAGCACCTCATCTGCAAGACAACCTGACAGCACTGTCTTGTAAAGCTGTCAATCTGTCAATTGTTACACCAGCCCCCAAGGTCTACTTTGAAAGTAGCGTTGATATTTTCACTTTTCCATCGGCAGAGCTGGTCAGACAAACACGGGTGTCCACAGAAGGTGACCAGTCAACAGTCACCACGGGAGATTGGTGCGGTCTCAGTTCCATGACACAAGTGGGGCTGGCAACACCCGTAACCTAAAGGGAAATAAAACAAAATTATATACAGAGCAGAAAATAACATCAAATATTATACAACAGAAATAACATCAAATGTTATACTTAACAGAAATACAACTAAAAATTATACATAACAGAAATAACACTAAATAATATATAGAACAGAAATAATACCAAATATAATACATAAAAGAAATAACACCAAATATACACAACAGAAATAACATTAAATGATACACAAAACAGAAACAGCACCAAATATTATACAGAATAGAAACAACACAATGAATTGAAAAACAAGAATATTAAAAAAAAACACTGAATATTACCAAAAAATTTTATAAAAGAAAAATAACACAAAATATGTAGGATCTCCTCCAAACTTCTACCCAATATTATGGCGGCAAAGCAAATAGCCTAACAGTGCCTCAGTCGTGTGTAAAATGCGTACTTTCTGCCAAGGAACAAATCGAGGCAAAACTAGGATCGACTCCGAATAACCGAATTGTCAACGGTCGATATTATGTCTGGTACATCGTCTGTTAGTCAACTGTCTGCAGACTAACGCTTGAAATGTGTCAACGGTCGATATTATTGTCTGGTACTATCGTCTGTTAGTCCTGTCTGCAGAAACGCTTGAAATTGTCAACGGTCGATATATTGGTACTATCGTCTGTTGTCCTGTCTGCAGAAACGCTTGAAATCAACGTCGATATTATTGTCTGGTACTATCGTCTGTTAGTGTCTGCAGAAACGCTTGAAATTGTCAACGGTCCGATATTATTGTCGGTACTATTGTCTGTTAGTCCTGTCTGCAGAAACGCTTGAAATTGTCAACGGTCGATATTATTGTCTGGTACTATCGTCTGTTAGTCCTGTCTGCAGAAACGCTTGAAATTGTCAACGGTCGATATTATTGTCTGGTACTATCGTCTGTTAGTCCTGTCTGCAGAAATGCTTGAAATTGTCAACGGTCGATATTATTGTCTGGTACTATCGTCTGTTAGTCCTGTCTGCAGAAACGCTTGAAATTGTCAATGGTCGATATTATTGTCTGGTACTATTGTCTGCAGTGTTGCGTCTCCTGAAATTGTCAAGTAATTCTGTTTTGCCACGATTTGTTCCTTGGCAGAAAGTCCGCATTTTACACATGACTGAGGCCCTGTTAGGCTATTTGCTTGGCTGCCATAATATCGGGTAGAAGTTTGGAGAAGAGCCAAAATGTATACACAGATCAGAAATAAAACCAAATATATAAAAAAGAAATAATATTATTAATAGAAAAACACAGAATATTATTAGCACTGAATAACACCAAATATTTCATAGAACAAAAATAACAACAAATATTATATTGGTCATAGTTAACACCAAATATTATTTAAAAAAAAAGAATTAACATCATACACTAAAAATAACACAAAATAAAAGTTCTTCCATCCACAACCATAATTTAGCTCTTTAGAAGGCAGATGCAGTAACACAGGGGTCAGTCATTTTCCTGCTCTCCCAAAGGTCTTGGGTTTATACCCACACCGAGTAGATTCGCAGGTCGACCCAGCTTCAAATGGGTGCTAGGGCATATCCTTGGAAGTAAAGGCGGCCAGCACGATGTTGACCTTATCATCAGTCCAGTGCAAATTCATCAATAACAATATGGTCCATCACAATATGGTCCATCACAATATGGTCAACTCACAATATGGTCCGTCACAATAGTTTCTAATGAGATAAGCCCTGCAAACCTCTCTTTTTTCAAGGCCTGCCATGGACCTACTTTGTAATGGTCATATTACAACAACAACAATAACAACAACAACAATAACAACAACAACAACAAAGCAGCTTTTAAATGCACTCTTTGTCCAAGTGTCTTGCTCTCAGTGTTGGATACAGTCTTAGAAAAACAAATTCAAAATTACAACATGTGAGAGGAGATGTATCAGAAATGTGTTGGGAAAGACAACAAGAGACAGAGACACCAGTGAAGAAGCGAGACTGGAGGTGGGGGGGGGGGGGGCCTTGACTGACCTTGTAGATGACTCCCCTTCTGCCCATGTAGGTCAGCAAGTAATGATGATCCAGGTCAAGGCAGAACAATCGACCCCGACAACTGCCAGTACTGGCTTTCCCCACGTTGCCCAGGTCACGGGCACTGAAAGATAATGTGTTCACTAGCTGTCCTGGTTTGTGCAAGCTCCATTCTTGCAGCTAGCAAGAGAGAGGTCATGACAACTCTATGATTAATATATGTTTGGAATAACTAAGAAAAACACAAAGAAGACAGATTTTTTGCAAAAAGCAGATATTAATTTCTTCTTTTTTTTTTTTGGGTGTGTGTTCACCTTTAAAATGGTGGCTGAGGTATTTGTGGTTTGCAGCTAGGCAGCAATATCTGTGCCTTTAATTCAGCTCAACACATCTGATTTCAGTCTAACTATCTATTGTCTTCTTCACTTTTACCGGGTTGCAGCCCAGTGTCGGTCTGATTTCAGTAAATCCTTAATTATTCACTTTTCATGATACTGTGTTTACTGACTGATTACTGATTTAAGAATCAACATCACAGCACACCGACATACCCATAGAGGCTCTGTCTCACACAGCAAACGTCTTCAGGTGGAGATGCTAAATATTTCAGTAACAACCTGGTTGTACGTACATTATACTCTTCCTTTCATACATCCCTTCTTGCTGGATCCACACTTAATCCCGAAGTCAGGCAACTCTTCACAAGTGCAACATGCTTGTCAAGGTCTCCCACCCCCACCCCCCACCCAAAGGGGCCCTCAGAACCAACACAGGGAAAACAGTTTTTTAAAAAGTGTTTATCAAGAAAATGTTTTATATATGAAAGAAATAATTCTGAAGTGGGTACAAATCAATATGGCCTCAATGAAATGTGAAGACCCTGTGTGGATTCCAGGTTCCAATGGTGGGAAGGGGGGGGGGGGGGGGGGGGGAGAGACAAACATGTTGTGAGAGTCAATTATTTAAGACCACCACACACACACACACGCATGCACATACAAATCAGCTTCTCTCACCTTTCCGTCTGCAGACATGCTGTAAACAGATTTATCTCCCATGAACTGCACTGTGTGAATAGGCAGGTCGTGACCTGGCCACTTCTGCACCGGTTTTTGCAGGCTGGAATCTAGCAGTGGAAAAGATCAAGCTGGCAATAAAAAGATGTATCAAAACTAGGAACCTTTTCATTATTTACACCAGCTGTTACAATGTTCTCTAGTTTTCCTGTTATCAAGACAAAAACAAAGAATGTTTCCTTGCAGTGTTTGTAAGTGGTATCCACTGGGCTGATACATATATACAGCAGTGGCCAAAAGTTTAAGACCACTTCAAATAAAACAAAGTCAACTCTTAATATTATTGTTACTGATAAGTCCAACTAGTACCTGATGATCGCACTGTCAACTGCTGTCTTGCTGTGGTCTGCCCAAACAGAAATATCCCATTCTGTGTCTCCTTCTTCACTTAATATTATATTTCAGCTTTTTGCATGGAGAAAAGTGGGGCTGTAATTTTGATCACAGGAACGAGGGACAGTTAAGGTTGCTGTGCAGTGTATAAGGAGATATCTCCAACCTCACCTTGTGGAGGGGGGAGGGGCATCATTCTCTGTGTTGGTTTCACAAACCCTCATGCAAGAATCCTGCCACATGTCCAGGTGGTGTGCCACTGATAATGGCCTGTCAGCCCAAAGGTCAGTTTGGCCACAGTCATCCCAGCGATAAGATGTTCAAGTCGGAGTACATCTGCCTGATAGGCAAGGAAACAACAGACTGCACACAAATAAGCCAGACCTGAGAAACAGATATACAAACAGAACTCAAATGCACCCCAACCTAGAAATTAAAAAAAAAAAATGTACCCTGGCTAGTCCGACATGTCAAGTAGGGCGTCCTGTTGACACCAGTGGTGTGTCAGGCACTGACGCTGGACTCCTATTTGTATAGCCCAGTCAGCACTCTGTGGGTGATGTGGGGAACATCAGGCCGGCCGCCTTTACTTTCCAGGACATTACCCAATACCCACATTAGAATGGGTCAACATCGAAGCCAAAGTCGTCTTCCACTTCTTCGCATTCACAGACTGTAAACTTCAGCAAAAATGTTCTGGTCGTACATTCCCTTTTAAGATTTGGTCTTCTTTCAAAAGAGTTTTGTGTGCACACCCGTTTTACCTATACTGCTTATTTCTATGTAGACAATGGTTCCTTGCTTCTCAGACAAATGCACTCCGACTTCAAAGGAAACATCCGTAATTAGTCAACTCTTATGATAAGCTTTTTAGGGGTTAGTGGCTCCATCAATTAATCTATCTATTACCTGATTATAAGACTAAAAAAAAAAAAATGCCATATGAATGAAATGAAATATACAATACCACAATGTATTTAACTTCCCTTAGCTAATACCACATAAGCATCAGACAAGTGACAAACAATATTATACGTGCATTTCTTACCGTAGATTCTTAATGAACCGTCAGCACCCCCTGTCAGCAGTAAGTGGCCACTCTGGCTGTAGGACGAGCAGGTAATTGCAGTACACACAGTAGAATCAACCAGCAATGCTCTCTGAGACACAAATCATCAAATCAAAATGTTGTCAGCACCTCTCCATCTTTCCAGGCAGTAGCGTTATATTGTCTTACAGAGAGATATGAGAATCACAGTGCCAGTGATGAAGTCCCTCCTCTCCATAGCATACAATCTAGGCAGTATTGTAGAGGCCATGTGTTATCTATGTGGCATGATCCCTCCCTCGGCCCTGGCCTGTTTACTCTAAAGAAATGCTAACATCAGTATGTTTCTTCTCCTCCTTTTGTGTTTGCATTTTAAACGGTGGTTTACAAGGAGGCAACGCCATCTTCACCTTTCAGGTCAACAGATCTGATTTCAGCAAAACTCTAATCTCCTTTAACGACACGAAAAAAAAGGGTGGAGTGGGGTTACAGCCCCACCCCCAAAAGTGGGCACCGGAGCCCACACAAGGAACATCAATATTAAACAACAAATGCTGCAGAAGCTGCTAGATCAGAAAAAGTGAGCTCTGCCTACGAGGCACACAAACATCTAGTCTTGTAATAATGGTTTTGTGTGTGTGGGAGCAAGCACGTGTGTGTGCATGTGTATGTGTGTGTTATAATTCACCATCTCCCGTGGGGAAAAAAATCACAAATGACAAACAACCAGCTGAACCTTCTGTTTACACAGCTATTTTCTTTTCGACATGGCTGGAAGTCTGAAGAGTCTGGTATATTGGTTTGGTAATGGATGTTGGTCAGGGGCATATCACAGATTTTCTGTCAAGGGATGCAGGTATGATGGGTGATGAACAGGTTGATACATTGTTCTCTGGACAGCAAGCTATTTTATCTTAAGATGAACATATTTAAGACCTGGGGAAAACTGTCTGGTAAACAACTGTTAAGAAGAAGTTAGATCTATCAGCCAAAAGGTGCAAATATGATTCTTCTGCATATAGACATCAGGCAAAAACTATAAAGTTGAAAAAAAAAAATTGGGAAGTAAAAAGAAAATGAGGAGGAAGTAAAAAGAGGAAAAAGAAGAAGATAAGAAATTATATTTGTAAACTGAAAAAATATGGAAAGAAATATAACAACTGATAAAATATGGAAAGAAATATAACAAATGATAAAATGTGGAAAGAAATATAACAACTGATAAAATATGGAAAGAAATATAAAAACTTATAAAATATGGAAAGAAATATAACAACTGATAAAATATGGAAAGAAATATAACAACTGATAAAATATGGAAAGAAATATAACAAATGATAAAATGTGGAAAGAAATACAGAAAAATCTGTTCATTGCAGTATTGAAACAAGGGAAAAATAAAAGACACGCTGACAAAAACCAGTGGCCAGGCGTTCATGTAACAGCTGTGATCACAGCTCATACTTTCCATTGCCAAAAAATAATGCAGTATTTTACTATTTATTATTATTGTTTACTATTTATTACCAACAATCCGCTCGATTTACATCTCTAACATAGCAAAAATAATTCTTGCTGGAAGCTTCCCCCAATCATACAGAAACTGTAACATCTGAAAGCTACCAGTTGCCAACAGCATACGTGTTCGCTCAACAGCAAAGTGACGAGGAGGAAAATATCATGTGATATTCTCTCCAGTGTAATCGTTGTCTGCTAACACTTATATATGCGAATTGAACACACCTCATCACTGATAAGCACAGATAAAAAAGGCATAACTGCAGATTAATAAGTGCATACTTCCAGTTTTAGAGTTCGGAGGTCCCACTGGAGCAGCCTGCCACTGACTGTGTTGATATCGGAGGTAAAGGGGCAGAAGTCTGAGGTAGCACACACAAACTGCATGTTGGAGGGACTGGTTGACAGGTCGTTGACTCGCATACAACTGAAATATTGACACAGTGTGGAAATTAATGGAAATGTTTGATACACGGCTTCCGTTTTGATAATAAATAAATGTTTGATACCGAGCTAAAGTGAGGATGTTAACTGAAATGTTTGCTACAGTGTTTTAGCCTGAATATTGATGGAAATATCTGATACAGAGCTTAAGCGTGCATATTAATTAAAATGAACGAAAGGTCTGACAAAGAAAACAACCAAAATCCATGTCAGAACAAGACAGATGGCGGTTGGGCTTGCTGTGAAGCCTCTGGAAGAATTTACGCTCAGGTTTCATGGAAAGGGCTTGCATCTATCACTGTGAGGTTGGCCTTCAGACTTTGGTCCCAACACTACACCATGAACCATCTCCAAAGGAACTGTTGCAGAGCTCTTCAGTCCCTCTTGAAACTCAGAAACCAGCAGAATGGGCAAGACTGGTACTGTATTGACTGGTACTTATATTGGAGCCCCATTGGGGGTTCCGACGCCCATTGTGGGTTCTGGGGTCACATTAGAGGTTCTGGGGCCCTACTGTGGATTGTGGGTTCTGGGGGTGGGGGGGGGGGGGGGGGATCTCACTGCTTCCAGGAGTTTGCTGAAACTAGATGTGTTGGGCCAAAAAGTGCATATATCACAGCCTAGCTGAACATACCTACCAAATAAAGGGCAAATGAAAAAAGAAGAGCTTTGGTAGCAAAGATGTGCAAAAAAACAAAAAATATATATTAGAAACAAATGCTGCTCAAAATTTCAGTGCAACAGTGTCAGATAAGGATGTGTACTGTCCCCCTGAGGCCTAAAAAATGCATAAATCACTGGACAGCCAGGACAAATAGGTGATCTAAACATATCCTTACGTTCTATTTTGTCACAAACATCAGAAAGAAGCAACTGTCATCTTTTACCAAAGGGAAAACTGAAACACGTGACAATGGAAAGATTTAAGACAAGAGAAATAGAGGGAAAACAAGAAGATTTATTGCAGCCTTTTGTCACTCACAGAAAGATCCTAGCAAATGAAGTGGTAGTGATGTTAGAGGTTGCAAGATGTCTCAAAGCACTATCTCCCACACTTAAGTAGCATAGTATCTGATGAGGTTAATGTGCCCCAGTTCTGTATCCCAAGTGAAGCCAAACTAATTCAACATTTAATATAATCAAAGGTTCGCATTCAAGTACAAAATGGCACTTACTTGGCCGGATTATCTGGCTTCACCAGCACTTCCCTGTAAGTTTTACTTTCTTTGACATCAAATAACCGGATGGTGCCAGCTCTGTTGCCCAGTAGGAGCTAAGGATTCAGAAATATTTCATCATGGACTAACGGATATAGTATTTGTTATAACTAACAATATATTCACAAACATCTTATACAGTCTTTGATGTAGGAAAATAGTTGTAAAATGCAATATACATGTAGCTAAACATTTGAGAAATATTTCCTTTCAGACTAAACATTATATGGTAGAGTCTTTGTTGTAACAATAATTTTACACTATTTACAGCTACACACATAACCAGTCAATCATCACTATTGTTGTTTCTGACTATGTCTCTTCTGATTAAAAGATACAACAGATAACATCCGTGAGATCTACTATTTTCTTGTTTTTCTTCTTAGCTTTCACTGGCTGTAAACTTTGGCATAAAGTTTGGGTTGTTCATCCACTTCTGGACTTTAGTCTTGTTGCAAAACTTGAGTTTTGGGTGCACATCTATTTTACAGATCTGGCTTCTTGTTTAGATGCACCAAGACTTCCAGAAAACACTCCTTATTAGTTGCCTTCTGCAACATACCTGTTCATGTAAAAATAAGTTACAATAATCACATCACGAGTAACAGTTATAAAGTGTATAAAGTTGGCTAATGTAACAAATGTAGGAAAAAGATGCAGTGCAAAATGTACAATCTGTAAAATGTCAAAATATGCGTATACAGGGTCTCCTCAACTTATGACTTGAGTTCCACTCCAACCAACAGGCCATCGTAAGTCGAATTTATATTTTTAAACACCATTTTCGTTCAAATGGGTTATTTAAAAAAATGTACATAAAACACAGAAATTTCCCTCTATGTACATATAATTATTTTATACAGGCATCTTTGTACAATCTGGGCATCCGTTCTGGGAACTTTGTGACCCCACCAATGAAGATAATTTTTTTCAGTTACTATTTGAATTAATTTTTTTTTCTGTGGTTGTAAGTGTGAATAGCAATAGTCGCTAAGGTCATAAGTCTAAGAGAAGGTGAACTGGGTGGGGTGGTAGAGAAAGTCACAACACTCACAATGATGAAAGGTCTGACCTACATACCCATCTGACAGACAGCAGAGACAGTTATTCACAACACTCACAATGATGAATGATCTGACCTACTTAAGGATGGTCTGACCTACATAAGGATGGTCTGACCTACATAAGGATGGTCTGACCTACATAAGGATGGTCTGACCTACATAAGGATGGTCTGACCTACATAAGGATGGTCTGACCTACATAAGGATGGTCTGACCTACACAAGGATGGTCTGACTTACACAATGATGAATAGTCTGACCTACATAAGGATGGTCTGACCTACATACCCATCTGACAGACGGCAGAGACAGAGTTATTCACAACACTCACAATGATGAATGGTCTGACCTACATAAGGACGGTCTGACCCACACAATGATGGTCTAACTTACACAATGATGATTAGTATGACCTACACAAGGATCTTCTGACCTACACAAGGATCTTCTGACCTACACAAGGATCTTCTGACCTACACAAGGATCTTCTGACCTACACAAGGATCTTCTGACCTACACAAGGATCTTCTGGCCTACACAAGGATCTTCTGACCTACACAAGGATCTTCTGACCTACACAAGGATCTTCTGACCTACACAAGGATCTTCTGACCTACACAAGGATCTTCTGACCTACACAAGGATCTTCTGACCTACACAAGGATCTTCTGACCTACACAAGGATCTTCTGACCTACACAAGGATCTTCTGACCTACACAATGATGGTCTAACTTATACAATGATGAATAGTCTGACCTACATAAGGATGGTCTGACCTACATAAGGATGGTCTGACCTACATAAGGATGGTCTGACCTACATAAGGATGGTCTGACCTACATACCCATCTGTCTGACTTGCTGGCCCAGGCCAGGGACAAGAAAGCTGACTTGGACATCACCGTGGCTGTCGTCGCTGGCTGAGGGCTCCAGTGCCACACCCTGTAACCCAAGTAACATCTATCATTACACATACATGCTGAAGTTATGAGTAGCTATACACTGTCTGATAACTGATCCTGGAGTTATCATTACACATACATGCTGAAGTTATCAGTAGCTATACACTGTCTGATAACTGATCCTGGAGTTATCATTACACATACATGCTGAAGTTATGAGTAGCTATACACTGTCTGATAACTGATCCTGGAGTTATCATTACACACACATGCTGAAGTTATCAGTAGCTATACACTGTTAACTGACCCTGGAGTTATCATTACACATACATGCTGAAGTTATCAGTAGCTATACACTGTCTGAAAACTGATCCTGGAGTTATCATTACACACACATGCTGAAGTTATCAGTAGCTATACACTGTCTGATAACTGATCCTGGAGTTATCATTACACATACATGCTGAAGTTATGAGTAGCTATACACTGTATGATAACTGATCCTGGAGTTATCATTACACACACATGCTGAAGTTATCAGTAGCTATACACTGATAACTGATCCTGGAGTTATCATTACACATACATGCTGAAGTTATCAGTAGCTATACACTGTCTGATAACTGATCCTGGAGTTATCATAACACACACATGCTGAAGTTATCAGTAGCTATACACTGTCTGATAACTGATCCTGGAGTTATCATTACACACACATGCTGAAGTTATGAGTAGCATACACTGTCTGATAACTGATCCTGGAGTTATCATTACACACACATGCTGAAGTTATCAGTAGCTATACACTGTCTGATAACTGATCCTGGAGTTATCATTACACACACATGCTGAAGTTATCAGTAGCATACACTGTCTGATAACTGATCCTGGAGTTATCATTACACATACATGCTGAAGTTATCAGTAGCATACACTGTCTGATAACTGATCCTGGAGTTATCATTACACATACATGCTGAAGTTATCAGTAGCATACACTGTCTGATAACTGATCCTGGAGTTATCATTACACACACATGATGAAGTTATGAGTCGCTATACACTGTCTGATAACTGATTCTGGAGTTATCATTACACACACATGATGAAGTTATGAGTCGCTATACACTGTCTGATAACTGATCCTGGAGTTATCATTACACACACATGCTGAAGTTATCAGTAGCTATACACTGTCTGATAACTGATCCTGGAGTTATCATCAGTCAAACTTATTGCTTATTAATAGTCCTCAGGTGGGTTATGGGGTCCCATTTGGGGGGACACAAGAAAAGACCCACCGTCCACTTAACAAGCCTTTAGGAGGCGACTAATCAGAGGTGTTTCTTTAAAGTCAGACTGCATTAGCCAGAAATAACAGACTGCATACAAATAAGCCAGATCTGTATGATGGAATGCACAAACAAGTTCTGGAATGAGACCAAAGTTAAGAACTTTTCACCGGAGGTTACAGCCAGTGAACGCTAAGAAGAAGAAGAAGGAGACTTACTAATAGGTGCCAAATTTATTATCTATTATACTAGCCACCTTGCAATAGATTTCAAAACCAATACTTAAAAGAAAACATCACTGTATGCCGTGACCCCTATCACTGAGGCTTACTGAACAAATTTTAATTAACCTTATTTTTAAAAAAGCTATTGATTTCCCCAGGAAAGTTATATTTAGTTAATATATTTATATCTGGGCCTCACAAACACTACTAGCAGGCTCACAAAGAGCCAATGGAATTAAATTATACTTTTGAAGAATAGGCAGTCGCAGAAATGGCGATGTACTGGCATTTATGAGCCAGACCCTCTTTCAAATATGACCTTGGCTCTCAGGTCGACCCAGCCTTCAGAAGCTACCAGGCAGAGTCCTGGGAAGTAAAGGTGGCTGGCATGATTTTGACATCACCCACCGAGTGTTGACTGGTCTATAAAATACAGGTATACAGGTCTAGCCCTATATGCCCTATACACTTGAAGGTGGGAAAAAAGAGACCTTTACTGTACTTACTGGCATTTATGGGGCTGTGTCACAACTGGAAGAGACTAGATTTAACCTTCTCGGGGGCAACAGGGTTAAGATATCAAATACATAATTATGTCTGCAAAGCAACAGATTATAAATCATATATTCATGTTTACACTATGATACCAGCGATAATCTGGACACTTAAAACACACACAGACACACAAATGTAAAATCCTTGCTTGTGAGACAGTTTGTAAGTTGAAAAGGGGGGGGGGGGGATAAAAGGAGATGAGGTAGGAAGGGGGCGGAAAGTGAAAGAGAGAATATGTTGAAGAAAGAGCTGTACAGACAATATTAGACAGGTGATCTGAGAGAGACAGAGAGAGAGACAGAGAGAGAGAGAGAGTCAGAGGGAGAGAGAGCAGTAAAGATAGACAATGTGAGACAGAAAGTAAGAGCACAATTAAGATATACAAAAAAAGAGAGAGAGAGAGATACAGACAGGGTTGAGGAAGAAAGGCTTACAGATAGACAGACCCAGGTTAAACACAAGATCCTTACTTGACAACCCCATCAACGTCCAGACTAGCAACGTACTGCCCGTTGAGACTAAAGTGACAGTAAGAAGCTGCCGAGCTGTGCTCTCTGTACTCATCCTGGCAACACAACAATGGCAGGTGAGACATTCTACTGTAAAGGTACATGGTTTGTATAAGTAGTGTCCAACTTTGATTTTTCCAATAGAAACAAATCCAGCATGGAAGATATATTCCTGAAGGCATGGCGTAGGGAAAGTGTGCATGCCTGTGTCAACATTTTTCCTCCAGTCAGTTGCTAACAATCAATCTGTAAGTTGAGCTGAGTTTATAATCAATATCACAACACTCAGGACATTCTCATAAGTGCTCAGTCTCCATCTTGAACAAACAATGCAGAGATTCAATTCCAGTGATACCAACAGCAAACTGAATATATGTTTGTTTTGCCTTTCCCCTGAGTGTTGAGTGTCGGCCTGACCCCCTGAGTGCTGAGTGTCGGCCTGAACCCCTGAGTGCTGAGTGTCGGCCTGAGCCCCTGAGTGCTGAGTGTCGGCCTGAGCCCCTGAGTGCTGAGTGTCGGCCTGAGCCCCTGAGTGCTGAGTGTCTGCCTGACCCCCTGAGTGCTGCACATGTTGGCCTTATCCTCTGAGTGCTGAGTGTCTGCTTGACACCCTGAGTGCTGCACATGTTGGCCTTATCCTCTGAGTGCTGAGTGTCTGCCTGACCCCCTGATTGCTGCACATGTTGGCCTTATCCCCTGAGTGCTGAGTGTCAGCCTGAGCCCCTGAGTGCTGCACATGTTGGCCTTATCCCGTGAGTGTAAAGTGTCGGTCTGACCCCCCCCCCCCCCCCCCCCCCTACCCCAAGTGTCAGCCTGACCCTCTGAGTGCTGAGTGTCAGCCTGACCCTCTGAGTGCTGAGTGTTGGCCTGACCCTCTGAGTGCTGAGTGTCAGCCTGAAGCTCTGAGTGCTGAGTGTCAGCCTGAAGCTCTGAGTGCTGAGTGTCAGCCTGAAGCTCTGAGTGCTGAGTGTCAGCCTGACCCTCTGAGTGCTGAGTGTCGGCCTGAACCCCTGAGTGTTGAGTGTCAGCCTAAGCCCCCGAGTGCTGAATGTCAGCCTGACCCCGTGAGTGTTGGGTGTCAGCCTGACCACGTGAGTGTTGGGTGTCAGCCTGACCCTTTGAGTGTTAAGTGTCGCAGAAATGTTGCAAAAAATCTTGTCACAAAAATGGCAGCAACACCAAATCACAACCATGAACAAGATTCAAGTCATGCACAAATGGATGAATCAAGAATTGACATCATTGCACCCAGGATATTTCCATGCACTTGGGACATTTCTATGTGTGCTGGGTCTCATTCCTCACAGCCACAAAAGGAGTCCACATGCTAACCATACATGTTGCAACCTGATTAAAAATGTGATTATATTTCATTCTTCATGCTGAACATCTTCCAGAACTTCTGCTCATCCCCCCCCCCCCCTCTCCCAACTGAATTAGACTTTCAATATATGGATTCTATGTCTGTTCTGCTGCAATGTCTATTTGATCCCAGGAAGCCTTTACCACGTTTGTTCTATAATAAAGTAGCTCACCACCCAGAAGAGCGGCAGTAGCCAATCATCAGCCAGCTCATTACCTTATACACATGAACTTCTACTTGCCAGATTGGCAGACTTGGGAATTAAGATCGGCACAGCAAAAAATGAGACGCACACCGGACACGTCAGAAGACTTGTTAATCAACATAGAACTGGTACTATTAGCCATCGGACATTGGGGTTCATACTGAGGGTAGGATCTGAGCACCCATGGACATGTCCGGAGTGCAATGATGATAACCCAACTAACTAACTAACTAACTAACTAACTAACTAACTAACATGAACTTCTGGATAGAAAATCCATGATATGCTCCTGAAAGTAAATGCCAGACTTGTCAGGTAATTGTTTTGGAAGGAAAGGTGATGAGGGAGGGAAATTGTTTTGGAAGGAAAGGTGATGAGGGAGGAAAATGTAGACCTGATAAAGGACGGCTCACTGGGAACCCAAGAAATGGTTCTTCTTATCAGACATTCCTCTTATCTGGATAAGAGTTCAAGCAATAAACATTGTCGTGGATAAAAACACTGTTCTTCACAACAGAAATTCACCATATCATTGATTATCTTTAGCGGTAGACACTGTAGCCATTCCATCTCGTGCTATGACCTAGATTATGTGGCAGCCTTCCACTTTTGCTACAGGACTATCCTTGAAATGTGAAAACCAGTAGAAAAAAAAAAAATAAAGCCAGATAACACAAGTATAAGACTTATCAATGTTAAGGTTGCCCTAATTCTTCAACTTAGCGGTTGCGTCCACATTTCACGCATATATATATGAGCGTCCGCATATGGTCGACAATTATAGCTAATGTGGAGATCACAAAGATAGGAGAGCTCACCTCTAGTAATAAGAATGGACTGTCAGCATCTGTTTAAAAAAAAAATACAAAAAAAATTATTTGAAAGAAAGAAATACTTGTAAATTTAAATTAGTGTTTTTACTGTAACAGATTTTTCTAATGTTTGGTTGAGATATTCTGAAAGACTGCTAATTTTAACCGTAAACTTATTTTAGCTGGTGTTCTGGTAAACTGAGGAGGTAATCATTAGATACAAAAACAGCAAAGAATAAGCTGCTATGTTTAACTTATTTTTGTTCCCATATTCTGGTAGTCAAGTGACATCATAACAAGATTATTATGACATAGCAATTACATCCCAATTTTTAAACATGTGATGACTTTTTTCACCGCAAATAATATCTTATTAAAAATAAACATATATATATATATATATATAAAATCATACCTATCATGTCTACATACTACGCCGTTGCAGTCAGTACCAAAGCTCTTATACAGATGTAGTGGTCACTGCTCAAAGACTTCATGTCATCAAAAACCCATAAATGTCAGAAAACTGACTTTCTAAGGGCATCAGGGTAAAACCCTGGTGTATCGGTATTGTGAAACAACATTCACAACCCCTATACCACAGAGCAGGATGCAGCTAGGTCCTTATTCAGCCCAGTACATTTGGATCTGGTTGACCAGGTTTCTTTACCTGTTTTAAATATTCCATCATCTCCTTCTTCTTCTTCTCAGCATTCACCAATAAAACTCCGGCAGAACATTCTAGTTGTTCACCCCGTCTTGAACTTTGGTCTTGATCCGTAACCTGAGCTTTGCATGCACATCCCTTTTACAGGTCTATCTTATTTATATGCAGACTGTTGGTTCTTTGCCTTTCATCTCAAGCAGATGTGCTCTGACTTTGAAGGATCCACTCCTTATTATTCGACTCCTATGACCTGCTTGTTGGGGAAACCAGTGGGTCTTTGTTCTCCAAAATGGAACCCTAATCCCACACAGGGAATTCCATCATCAACAGTTTCTTATTCAGAGGCCACAGAGAAAAAACAATTTTTTTTATTAGCAACATAAGTAGAGCTATTTACATTTGCATAAAGGTGAATTTTGTCTTACTTAAAAAAAATGATCTTGGATCCCAGGTTAATTAAAAGTAAAAGTAATGGTACCTTTTCCATACCTTTAGGTGTATTGGGAGTATAGGGCTAGCTCTATATTTTTACAGACCAATCATGGGTGATGTGGTCAGCATCATGCTGGCCGCATTTACTTCCTAGGACTGCACCTGGTACCAACTCAAGGCTGGGTGAACCTGAGAGTCAAGGTCATTTTTTAAGAAAAAACAGTCCAGCTCCGTTATGACGCAAACCCGCGACCTTCCGATCTGCAGCCGGGCGTCTAGCGGCCAACACCACAGAGGATCCCAGGTTGACCCAGCCTAAAATGGGTATCAGGTAACATCCTGGGAAGTAAAAGTGGCCGGCCACATACTCAGTGAATGCAGACTAACCTATACAAATATAGGTATAGCCCTATATGCCCAATATGTGAAAAGGGTCCTGTTAAAAATAGAGTCAAAGTATAACACACCATTAGCAAGAGCAAAAGCACTGTCTGAATCTGCACTGGATCCCATAGCCACACCGCTGGAAGCTGGGCTGTGACTCAGGGAACTCTGGGAAGATTGTAATACATCTGAAGTAACTTCTGTTGTTAGTGATCTCCCTCTACCTGCTGCAGTGTTCTTGGTTTCGGGGACTGACAAAGATCTCTGTGAAAAAGCAGCGAAACAATACAAAGCTCCTGTTGTATCTGCTGTCTGAATGCAATGAAATGATACAATGCTTCTTCTGTTTCTGTCTGAATGCAATGAAATGATACAATGCTTCTGTTTCTGTCTGAATGCAATGAAATGATACAAGGCTTCTGTTCTATTTCTGTCTGAATGCACTGAAATGATACAATGCTTCTGTTCTATTTCTGTCTGAATGCAATGAAATGATACAATGCTTCTGTTCTTTTTCTGTTTGAATGCAATGAAATGATACAATGCTTCTGTTCTATTTCTGTTTGAATGCACTGAAATGATACAATGCTTCTGTTCTATTTCTGTCTAAATGCACTGAAATGATACAATGCTTCTGTTCTATTTCTGTCTGAATGCACTGAAATGATACAAGGCTTCTGTTCTATTTCTGTCTGAATGCACTGAAATGATACAATGCTTCTGTTCTATTTCTGTCTAAATGCAATGAAATGATACAATGCTTCTGTTCTATTTCTGTCTGAATGCAATGAAATGATACAATGCTTCTGTTCTATTTCTGTCTGAATGCAATGAAATGATACAATGCTTCTGTTCTATTTCTGTCTGAATGCACTGAAATGATACAATGCTTCTGTTCTATTTCTGTCTGAATGCAATGAAATGATACAATGCTTCTGTTCTATTTCTGTCTGAATGCAATGAAATGATACAATGCTTCTGTTCTATTTCTGTCTGAATGCAATGAAATGATACAATGCTTCTGTTCTATTTCTGTCTGAATGCAATGAAATGATACAATGCTTCTGTTCTATTTCTGTCTGAATGCAATGAAATGATACAATGCTTCTGTTCTATTTCTGTCTGAATGCAATGAAATGATACAATGCTTCTGTTCTATTTCTGTCTGAATGCAATGAAATGATACAATGCTTCTGTTCTATTTCTGTCTGAATGCAATGAAATGATACAATGCTTCTGTTCTATTTCTGTCTGAATGCAATGAAATGATACAATGCTTCTGTTCTATTTCTGTCTGAATGCAATGAAATGATACAATGCTTCTGTTCTATTTATGTCTGAATGCAATAAAATGATACAATGCTTCTGTTCTATTTCTGTCTGAGTGCAATGAAATGATACAATGCTTCTGTTCTATTTATGTCTGAATGCAATGAAATGATACAATGCTTCTGTTCTATTTCTGTCTGAATGCAATGAGTCTGTGAATGCAATGAAATGATACAATGCTTCTGTTCTATTTATGTCTGAATGCAATGAAATGATACAATGCTTCTGTTCTATTTCTGTCTGAATGCAATGAAATGATACAATGCTTCTGTTCTATTTCTGTGAGAATGCAAATGAAATGATACAATGCTTCTGTTCTATTTCTGTCTGAATGCAATGAAATGATACAATGCTTCTGTTCTATTTCTGTCTGAATGCAATGAAATGATACAATGCTTCTGTTCTATTTCTGTCTGAATGCAATGAAATGATACAATGCTTCTGTTCTATTTCTGTGAGAATGCAATGAAATGATACAAGGCTTCTGTTCTATTTCTGTCTGAATGCAATGAAATGATACAAGGCTTCTGTTCTATTTCTGTGAGAATGCAATGAAATGATACAATGCTTCTGTTCTGATTTCTTTTGAATGCAATGAAATGATACAATGCTTCTGTTCTGTTTTTCTGTCTGAATGCAATGAAATGATACAAGGCTTCTGTTCTATTTCTGTGAGAATGCAATGAAATGATACAATGCTTCTGTTCTTTTTCTGTTTGAATGCAATGAAATGATACAAGGCTTCTGTTCTATTTCTGTCTGAATGCAATGAAATGATACAAGGCTTCTGTTCTATTTCTGTGAGAATGCAATGAAATGATACAATGCTTCTGTTCTTTTTCTGTTTGAATGCAATGAAATGATACAATGCTTCTGTTCTATTTCTGTTTAAATGCAATAAAATGATACAATGCTTCTGTTCTATTTCTGTTTGAATGCAATGAAATGATACAATGCTTCTGTTCTTTTTCTGTTTGAATGCAATGAAATGATACAATGCTTCTGTTCTATTTCTGTTTGAATGCAATGAAATGATACAATGCTTCTGTTCTTTTTCTGTTTGAATGCAATGAAATGATACAATGCTTCTGTTCTATTTCTGTTTGAATGCAATGAAATGATACAATGCTGCTGTTCTATCTCAGTGGGAATGATAGAATACTGTTGTCAATTAGCGGACAAATTATGGAATGTATCAAATATTTCACTGTGTATGATTAGAAACATCATAACCATCATGTGCCTTACCATATAGCAAATGCATTAATCTCTCTCACTTCACGGTGTTCTGCATCAAAACTACAGATATTTCCCATTTCTCTTGGTCCACCTGTCTCTTCTACAACTGATCTTTCCAGTTATCACAATAATTTCTAATTCCCCTATTCTTAAGATACAATTAAAGAACAGCCATGTTTCCCAATTGAGCTATAGAATACAGGCACACAAGAGGAGAAAGACACACAGGAGCCGCGATCAGAGTAGACCCACTCCCTGAATGAATGAATGAATCAATCAATCAATCAATCAATCAATAATTGACATCGCGGCACATGTTCTCTGTCCTGTAGCCAATAAAGAGGCAACACGCTAACGTTACTCACTCCCTGAAAATGTCAAAAAGGTTTACCACAATAAGCTTACTGAATTTGAAGACCATTATTTTCCTATGTGGGTTCTTGGGTCCCATTTTAAGGGCAATAGACCCACTTCCCTATAGTAAGCATGTTGTCAAGGGCAGCTAATTAGGGTGTTTTCTTCGAATTGAGACTGCATCTGGCCAAGACCTGAGGAACCAACAGTCTGCATTCACATCAGGCAGATCTGCAACATGGATGTACATGCAAAACTCAAGTTCTGGAAAAAGATCAAAGTCCAGAAGTGGATGAACAACCAGAACTTTATGCTGGAGTTTACAGCCGGTGAATGTTAAGGTGGAGAAGAAGGACGACTATTGCAATGGCATACTGACATGTTACTTCTTGCTGAGCTGATGGGGGCAAGCAGGGAGGGGGCTCACTTGGATCATGACTCCAGTCTGTCATTCTTATTTTGTGTGCCTGAATTCTATAGGCAGATGTGAAACAGAGGTATTCCTTTGTCATATCACAAGAATGAAGGCATTAGAGAATATCCAACAATTATCTTGAGTTTCAGGGCCATTGTTGACATCACATAGCGACATGTTTCTTTTCTAAATCTAAGCATTTTCTTATCTGCAAACATTTGTTCAAACTTTAGCTACTTAAATACCTGATCCCAGGTCAACACTATCTAAAATCAGTACCAAGTAACGTCCTGGGAAGTAAAGGGGGTCGGCATGTTGTTGACCCTATCACCCTTCGAATGCCTTTAAAAATATGGACATAGCTCCATGTGCTCCATGGGCCAATAGCGTGAAAATGGTCTTTTATCTTAAACATAAACACCTCACCTTAAATATAAACTTTTTTTACTTACAGCATAAACATGTTATCTTAAACATTAACACTTTATCTTAAACATAAACACCTCACCTTAAATATAAACTTTTTTTACTTACAGCATAAACATGTTATCTTAAACATTAACACTTTATCTTAAACGTAAACACCTCACCTTAAATATAAACTTTTTACTTACAGCATAAACATGTTATCTTAAACATTAACAACTTTATCTTAAACATAAACACCTTACCTTAAATATAAACTTTTTACTTACAGCATAAACATGTTATCTTAAACATTAACACTTTATCTTAAACATAAACACCTTACCTTAAATATAAACTTTTTTACTTACAGCATAAACATGTTATCTTTAACATAACAACTTTATCTTAAAAACCTTAAATATAAATTTTTTTTACTTACAGCATAAACATGTTATCTTAAACATTAACACTTTATCTTAAACATAAACACCTTACCTTAAATATAAACTTTTTTACTTACAGCATAAACACATTATCTTAAACAATTCACACTAAATGTAAACAGATTACTTCACACATGAGCACCTTACTCAAAACATAATCACTTTACTTTAAACGTACACTTTAAACATAAATACTTCAAACACAAATATTTTACTTCAAACATACACACTTTACTTTAAAACAAACACTTTATTTCAAACATTAATACTTTGACATATATACTTTAAACATAAACATTTTACTTTTAACCATAAACACTTTAAATACAACTACTTTACTTCAAACATATACACTTTACTTTAAACATAAATACTTTAGACATAAATATGTAAAACATAAATACTTTAAACATAATTACTTTACTTTAGACATAAATACTTTAAATTTAAACATTTTACTTTAGCATAAACACTTTATTTTAAACATTTACTTTAAAAATAAATACTTTAAACAGACACTTTACTTTTTAAAAAAATACTCAAGCTTAAATACTTTACTTTCAACATAAATACTTTAGACATAAATACATTGAAGAGAAATACTTTAAACATAAGACTTCATATTAAACATAAACACTTTACCTAAAACATAAACACTTTACCTAAAACATAAACACTTTACCTAAAACATAAACACTTTACCTAAAACATAAACACTCTACCTAAAACATAAACACTTTACCTAAAACATAAACACTTTACCTAAAACATAAACACTTTACCTAAAACATAAACACAACAGGTTCTTACATTAGCCAGCTGTGACGCTGCTGTCATGCTAACCGGGTCAATGGATGAGTAGGAGCTGTGTTTAACCAGCTGAACTGGTGACTGTCGGACAGTGGCTGTCTGCTTGCTGACGACAGGCTGCCTGGTGGTGGATGACTGTGATGATGTGGAAGATAATGCGGATGTTGCTATACTTGACCTTCGTCCGTCACCTTGACCTGAGTTTTGTAATAATGGGTTTACTGCTGAGTCGGGAAGCCTCCACTGCTGAAATGTGATATACAGATTGCATGAAAACATGAACTATTCCACATAAATAAATGCAACTATATAACAAATAAATAAAGGTAGAAACATTTTATAGAATACATTTAATCAATCAGTATGTCCTTTACAGAATGCTGCCGTCTTCCTGGCAGGCCCCAAAGTCTCTCCACCTTTAGCCAATTCTCCAGCTCTGTGTGCTTTCACAGTCAATGCATTTTCAATGTCCAGTATCAACCTTCATGGAGGTAAACCTCTATCTCGTTTTCTCGAAACTGCGCCCTCTATCACAGTACTCTCCAGATCGCGCAGTTGCTTGGCACGTCCACAATAGAATACATTAGTATAATGCGTATATTACTGTATCATACATTTTAAATAATGTTCCAAATTTTATATGACCTGAATCATTTTAAACATGTAAAGACAATTTTTAGGTTTAGACAATGGATCAACATCACAGCACAAGGGTAGTAACCCATAAGTGCTAATTTCTCAATTTCTAGGACCTCAAAATACTTTGGGCAGATTTTAAACTCCAAATTGTGCCTGGGCAGCACCGTTAGGCTACTCCTTTTTTTTTTAAATTTCCAACTGCCAAGGAATACAACAATACACACGGGTGTCCGATATTACTACCCAGATACCAGATGAAATTACTAGGTCCATGTGAAAAAATCCCAGCCTTCACCTGGGCTTAAACCTAGGACCTCCAGCACTTAAGACTGATGGCAAGCCTCGAAATTATGCAGCCCCATAGGGGACTTGGCAATGTAACACTTCACAATATCACAAACACACACAACAAGCTTCACAATATCACAAACACAAACAACAAGCTTCACAATATCACAAACACAAACAACAAGCTTCACAATATCAAACACAACAAGCTTCACAATATCACAAACACAAACAACAAGCTTCACAATATCACAAACACAAACAACAAGCTTCACGGTATTATAAACACAAACAACAAGCTTCACGGTATTATAAACACAAACAACAAGCTTCACAATATCACAAACACAAACAACAAGCTTCACAATATCACAAACACAAACAACAAGCTTCACAATATCACAAACACAAACAACAAGCTTCACAATATCACAAACACAAACAACAAGCTTCACAATATCACAAACAACAAGCTTCACAATATCACAAACACAAACAACAAGCTTCACGGTATTATAAACACAAACAACAAGCTTCACAATATCACAAACAACAAGCTTCACAATATCACAAACACAAACAACAAGCTTCACAATATCACAAACACAAACAACAAGCTTCACAATATCACAAACACAAACAACAAGCTTCACAATATCACAAACACAAACAACAAGCTTCACAATACCACAAACGACAAGTGAACCATGCGACTAGACAGTTACAAAAATATATGTCCTCCTCACCCTTCCTTGTGCTGAAGCCCCTACTGCAGCTGAGGTAGAGGCAGAGGATGACTGCTGCTGCACAGCCACTTTCCCCTTGCTGAGTGTGGAGTCTGATTTCTTGCGCCCCATGAGCGGCGATGTTAAACTGAGTGGGAACCGACGAGTGGTTTTCTGTCTCTCTGGATCTGGTGTTTCTGATTCGCTGGAACAGACAATCATATATTTTTCCAGAAAATTCTAAAAATTATCTGACACTCATTAGGACTAAACTGGATTCACCCCAGAGACATGATGATCAGGAAAAACAACAATCTTGCCCAGCTAGAGATTGAGCCATATCACCATAAGAAGACATTATTTCGACTTCATTGTCTAATTGTATATTACAAATCTCTGAGTAAGTGATATTTAGACAATATAGTTCACCTAGTCCTCTATGCCTATATATCAGCTCTGATACTGTTTGATCCTGTGCACTGTTTAGAAGGGCCAGATATGATAATATTTACTTCTTCTTCCTAAAGTTATTACTTACTTACGGAGTCACTCCTCCCCTCTTCTACCTTGGTGTGTAGAGATTTCATAAAACAGATCAGCAGATTTCTCTATCAGCAGTTTTCTTTTTAGCTGTGTTCCATTTCAGTCCTCTGTCAGTTTCAGATTGCTGGATGTTGCCTTCCTAGGCCAACCCTTGGTCGCCCTGAAGGTCTGGTTTACTGGATCGTGGCCTCACATGCCTGAGAGGTGAGGAACCCACAATATGCACACAAATAAGCAGCTCTGTAAAATAGACATGCACACAAAGATCAAGTTCAGAACAAAACTAAAAGCCTTCAAGAGGACGAACAAGCCAAACTTTCTGTCAGAGTTTACAGCCAATTTTACACTAAGAAGAAGGACAAATCAGTTACCATTCTCATGCTGAATGCAATCAACAACGATACAAACTGCAATAAACAGAGACACTAACATGAAACATTCAGGACATACACGACTACATCTGCCTGTACTCACTTTGCCAGACCTGAAAAGTCAAACACCATATCTGGAGGGGAAGGGGGCGGATGTCCTTCCAGCTGCATATTTCTTCTTGTAGCAGACCTGAGGTCACGCATATGTCCCCCTTCATTCAACAACTAGAGAATAAGGCATTAATAATCAATATGAGATACTGAATATTATGTATATCTTTTTCCGCACCTCATGCTCCCTTATCACAGAGTAATTTCTCTTCTACACAAAGTACACCCTCATCGGCCTGCCTTGTTTACTCCACAGGAAAGGTAACACATGTATGTTTGGAATAAAATTTGCTGCAGAAGATGTTGATAAGAAGAGCATTGCTCTGTCCGACTGTCAGTGCTTCCCTTCTAGACCAGCTGTCAGCCAAGGCTAAGGGTGTGGTCTGACCTGCCATAACATGAAGTTTTCAGGCTGCATTTCCTATTCCTAGGATAAGGCTAGTATCCTCTCCAATGAGCTCCTGCACCCGAAGCCGTTGGCACAATGCAGAATGTAGATTTGATATACACCATCTAATGTTTGGCGTCAACAGAAAACATGTTGTACCGACTACTGTTATACAGTAGCTCAGTCATTTTTTACCAAGAAGGACCTGACTTTATTTTATAGACTAATAAAATGAACTACAGTACACTACGTACTTGATCACATCTATCCATTTGTTTGTTGCTTGGTCACCTTGTAACTTTATATATCGGGGTCTCCTTGGCAAAGTAATCAAGCTGTTTGCTACATACTCTGAAGGTCTATGGTTGTTTGACGGCTGTGTTGTCTGGTTCACAAATGCAAATTTGATAGAGACCCCTGGGCACAATCACCGGAGTTGCAGAGTTCGCAGCTCTCAGCAGGAGGCTGGCCATTGTGTAAGTTGAGTGGAGTTGAAGTGAGTTGAGTCTAGAATTGACATCACAGCACTCAGGGCATTCCCATGCATACTTCATCCTCATCTTCAGCAGCCAGCGCAGAGTTCCAATATGGTACTGGTCACAATCTAGTTTTAAATCTGTCTTTCCTTTTATCTGAGTGTAGTGAGCCGGCCAGACCCTCTGGTTACACCCAGGTGCCTTATTCTCTCCAGGCCATAATAATCTTGTTTTTCTACTGATTCTGTTGCTTGTTCCCAAAGGTCCTTGGCCACATCTGCCTTGTCATGTATCATTTCACCACCCAGCGGTGCAGATCCACCCAATTCATCTGCCTATTTATTACCCAATACGCCGGCATGGTCTGAAGAAAAGATCCAAAGTACGCTCACTACCTTCCTAGTGAAGCTTGCCATTCTGCTCGAAGCATCCCTGTCTTCACCTTTCTCAGCATGCTTTCAGCGTTCTGTAAAGAGAGACCAAGCCATACGGGATAAGACCCAGTGCACTGAAATTGATCCATTCACAATTAACCTTTAACTTTTATCAAAGCTAGCAGAAAGCAGTCATTGACTGCTTGGAACACAGTTAACATCACATGCAAATATCACTGTATGGATGATGGGGAGAAGATCAAGCATAGCTGGACTGAATAAACTGGAATGTGTAAACGGTTAGCGGCAGGGCCGGATTTAGACTTGATGAGGAGCTAAGCTATTTAGAGTCATGAGGCCCGTCAGTCAGTCAGTCTGTCAGTCTGTAGACTGTCCTTTCCAGAACCTTGCCCACATAACAACCTTCTAGAAAACTTCTTGATCACAAGCAAGACGTCCCGCATCCGGTACACCCATATGGAGATCATCCGCCACATCCTGCACCCATCTTCTCCTCCTCTCTTCCCAGGCATATATCCCTCCATTTTTGTTCCCTCTAAACTTTTGTGACATTTACATTTTCTGTTTTATCATCTTTAATAGCCAACCATCTTCAATATTCAGTTCTTGAATTTTGGATACATTTGTTATTTTTTTTACCCATGATATTCTTAGAACCCCCCTATAACATTTGTATTCAAAGGATGTTTAGCTTGTTTAGTAATTGTCCATGCCGGAGGCCCTTACTGTTTTAAATTACACCAGCTAATTTCAGAAAACTGTAAAATATATTATTTTAAACATATGGATGATGGAAATATATTGTCATTCAATTGTTAGAACAAGAAAAAAATAAAGAATGTGTCAGAAAAATCACAGAAATTATATTATATAATCCTCTTAAAAGATCTATTTAAAGAAAATTGCATCTGAGAACAACAACAAAAAAGAAACCTGTTGAGGTTCCTACAGATTGTGAGGCCCTGGTTAGCTCATGCCCAAATCCAGAACTGAAAATTGGTCATCACTTTAACTGTGTTAGGCGGTGGAGGCTCCTATGGGCAGTGAAGCTAGGACAACCCATGCGGTATGGGACGACACCCACTGGAGTACAAGTGGCCTTTTGGCAGCCACTGGGGGGGCTGTGTGGTCTCGAAGCATAGCGTCTGCCTCAAGTGCTAGAGGTTACGGTAAGGGCTTGGATTTTTTCACATGTACTTCTAGTAATTTCCCCTGGTCTCTGGGTAGTGAGATCGGACGCCGGTGTACATTGCTGTGTTGGTAAAATATCTCTTGGCAGTTGAAAATCTAAAATAGTAGCCTAACAGTGCTCCCTGGGCAAAATTTGGAGTTAAAAGTCTACCCAAAGTATTTCAGGATCCTCGCCGGTGCTACAGAGCCTGTGCACTGTGCTGAGCTTCTTAAGACTCAGACTTGAGTTAGAAGAAGAGCAGAGCATTTATGGGTTACTTACCCATGTGCCATGATGTTAATCTGTTGTTCAAAACTTCAAAAACCATAGCAGCAACTTTGTTAAGTTTTGTTTACCATTCTTGGGAGTTTGCCACTCCAACAGTGCATCTGTAAAGATGACAGCTTGGTGGCGGTCAGACCTGGTGTGTACCAGGCATGAAAAGGGGTCTTTTACTTCACTTGTATAAATTTTGTATGGTGTCGCTAAATTTAAAAGTAAAAAAAAAATACATACTTGCTGCTTGAGTGATGTGTTCTCCTCCTGTAGTGTCTTCATCCTCCTGGCATCAAACTCCACATTCAGCAAAGTTGGGACAGGTACTCCAGTTAAAGAAACAATAAATGAAATGTCTACCCCACCTCCTCTGTGTCACAGGTTGGTTACTCCCATGTTCTCACACTAACTGTACAAAATCTGAAACCATGATCTCCTGTTATGTATTTAAAGAGAGCAGTCACAGTAAAAACTGAAGAACCCCTCTTCACATCTTCAGACATATTAGGTGTATAAGGCTTGACCTATATTTTATAGACCAATAAACAATACATTGAAAATGAGAATCCTTATATGTTATTATACTCCACCCTGAAGTGTATGTGAATGCATGAATGTATGTTTGTATGCATGCATGCATGTATGTATGCAATAATGCATGCATGTATGTAAATACGTACTTACATATGTACGTAAGTATGTATGTATGCATGTATGCATATACGTACGTACGTACGTACGTACGTACGTATGTATGCATGTACGTACGTATGTACATACGTACGTATGTATGCATGTACGTACGTATGTATGTATGTATTTATGTACGTAGGTATGTATGTATGTATGTATGTATGCATGCATGCATGTACGTATGTATTTATGTATGCCTATTGGTGTATCAGGTGTATTGGGCATATAGGACTAGACCTATATTTTATAGATTAATCGGCACTTCGTGGATGATGTGATCATCATCCTGCAGGCGCCTTTACTTTCCAGGACTACATGAGGTACCCCCTCAAGGTTGGGTCGTACTGGAAGCCAAGGTCAGGACCCAAACCGATAATCCGCTGGCGTCTAGCCGCTACGTAATGTCTGCTAGGATATAAATTTAATAATTAAAAATAGCATTGGGAGAGAAGATGGTGGGGTGGGGTGGGGGGGGGTTATTATGATCCCAACAACTTTTTGAAAGCCAAGTTGATGTCAAAATTCCCATACGCCTCAGTGATCGAGGTCAAGCCTTAGTAAGAGGTCACAAGGTCATGGCATCAGTCAACCCATACATTTTCGTTTTTTAACACCTCAAAGTGTCCCTAAGGAATCCTCTATGGTGAAAAACAAATGGATAGAAGTAAAGGCCAGCTTTGCTATGATAAAGATGTGTGCAAAGGGGGACACGAATGATAGGTAGATTCATGGGGACAAAGTGTCACGGACAGTGTTGCCTGGAGTGGGCAAACCTTGTAGGGAATGAGAATGAAGAAAATTTTTCGTTTAGAAAGGATAAAAGCTCAGCCTCTGAGAAGAAGCAGACTAAACACATGTGAAGGCAACAACAGTTCTGAAATCCCATGCTTTAATTGCGGAAGGTTTTACTTAATGCTACAGGGTCTTGCTAATCACACTAGACATTGCCACGGGCTGTGAGTCCCATGTCTCCTCATAGCACAAAGTAACGCTATCCTATGGAAAGAAGGAAAGGTACCAACAACACTCCAAGTTATGCATTTGTTAACTGACATCCCTGTTTACATATCTTTATTTATTTCGGGGGCGGAGAGGGTTTACAAATGTAAAAAAAAATTTTAATATTAATGTATTAGTGAACTGTGTAACATGTGCTTTTTTTTTGTTTTTGTTTTTTTGGTCCGATGACCCATTTTTATTAGGAATTAATATTGTTAAAGGGTTAATACTCATAAACTGAGGATAAAAATTACAGACTTGAGATATAGCCGAGTGTGCCCATGCTCCACCCCAGCAATGACCAATGAATAAAAGAAATTACCACAAAACAAGGATATGCATCGCTTGTAGAACAACGGACAAAAAGTTATGGAGAGACAAAAGTAGCGTATCCTGCCACTGTTTGTTGAAGTACAGAGAAAACAATGAATTCTCTGCTGGACTTGATACAAATGGAAATGCTGAAAATAAACCAACAACAACAATTAATAATGCAACAGCAATTTTTTTATTTTGCTAATATTTTTGCCTAATTATTCTTTGTCTCTCCACTCCCTGGGAGCCATGGTGGCGTGGTGGCCAGACACTGGCCTGCAGATCCGAAGGTCATGGGTTCAAATCCAGACGGTGCTGGACTTTTTTTTTTTTATCAAATGACCTAGACTGTGATGTCTGTGCCTTTCAACAGAACCCATCTGTAATACAGTCGCCTTTCACGACTCGTAAACGGGCAGTGGGTCTATTTTATTTGCCCCAAAACTGGGGCCTCTGAACCCACAGGGGGATAAATGGCAGAATATTTGTTTCTTCATCATCTTCTTCTTCTTGGAGTTTACAGGTTGTAAACTCAGGTGAAATTTTCTAGCTAGTCATTCACTTCTGAACTTTAGTGTTTTTCCAGAACCTGAGTTTTGTGTGCATATCTGATTTACAGATTGGACATGTCTGAATGCCGACTGTTGGTTCTTCTTTCAGAGGAAGCATCCCTAATTAGTCGATTCTCAATGACATACGTGTTGAATTCACACAAAGATAGCAGAAATTACAGCGCCTCTTTGAGTCATTAAACATCAGTCTTTCATGCAGCAATCTCAAAGGAACAAACTAGATAAACCTTGATGAAATTAAATTGCAATAAGCAAAAATCAGTCATGCCATCGTCCTCATCCCCAAGGGTCATAGTGGTCACAGCCTCAGGGCAAGGAATTATACTAACAGAGATCTTGAAGCATCTCTCAATTACGTAACCTGTCCACAAACTGGATTCGCTGTCTGGCTAACAGTTCAATCGTTGCCAGGCCTCTCTGCGGAGGTGAAGCTTTATTACTGGTATTGCACACACTTCTTGTTTCTGCACATGGAGAGGGGAAGAAGAGATCTGTCACACAGTCCATGTGGTACTTCGGTATCATGTTAGAAAGAATGTTTCTACACAGGTCTCAACCAAAGGAATAAGGTTAAAGTAGAGAGAATCAGCTTCAATGCACCGGGTTTTCTTCCATATGGTCTTGTCTCTCTCCGCAAATGGTTAGTCACCCGCCAAAAAGGTCACACAAAGCATGAGCACCATAGCTTTAACGACAATCCCCCAGAGGTCTCTGTAAAAACTGCATTCATGAATTCAATGAGACAGTCGTGAAAGAACCAATGACCTTCAGAGCACAAAGCAAACAGCTTGACCACTTTACCTTCTACCCCCCCCCCCCCCTTTCCAGTCTCCATCCCAGAGTCTAAACAACGAGATGAACATTCTGTTCAAGGCTCCGAACAGCTGACCGTCAATGCAGCAGACACAAGAAACTGAAATGTATCTCCGCAGAGAATTCTAACCAAACTACCAGTCAATCACTCAGCAGGTCTTAACAGAACCTCGCTCTCTTTATGGCACACCTGAAAGTCTCTCTTTCTCTGGCCAATTCTTCAGCCCCATGTACTTTCATAGCCGATATATCCTCCAATATCCTAAGTCCACCTTATGGAGAGGATGCTGTTTAAGAGCTGGTTTTCCTAGATGTTTAGGTCATGCAAGATGTTGATATTTTTCTTCTTTTTGGTCCATTTTAATAGTTTTCTGTAGCATTTCAGTTCAAAAGCCCCGATTTTATTCTTCAAAGACTGAAAAAGAGTCCATGACACACACCCAAAAGTTGTCATAGGAAAGACGCATGATCTCAAAATTGTTACTTTAACTTGCTCACATGAGCTATGCCAAAGTTTCTTCAAACAACTAATCGACACTATATGAGCTATGAGGAACTAGTAAAACTCAATGAAGAACTGGAAGTTAGAAATTAAATAGAAGAGACTGAATGTTTATCAAACCCCTCTGAAGTCAGGATGCCATTGCAAAAAGAAGTTAATCGTTCAATATATGTGATCAAATATTTACCAAACCATTCTTTGAAGTCAGGATGTGTCTGCAGCTCAACCCCCATCTGCTCAAAAAATGCCAGGACCTTGTCCTGTCGGCCGGACTGTTGAGCATTGACAATGTACAGTTTCAGAAGACTGGTCTCCAGCTTTCTCTCACTGGCTGCATAACGCTGCTCTAACCGTGAAAACAAGCGCTGGTTCAAGTACCGCCAATACTCCTTCAATCCTTGCAGGTCATAGCCAACAATCAGGGACCAGATGTTTTCCATCATACGATCCACCTAGGAAAGAGAACACGACAATGATAGAGGTGACAATTACATCCGCAACCATTATATCCGTGACCATTATATCTGTGACAATAATATATTTGCCACTTACTTATGTAATAATGATACATGTGACATTATTTCAATAACAATTATATATGGGACAAGTATAGCTGTAACAATTAAATTCTTAGTATTCAGCATTCCGAGCCCTTGAGATTCATTGCTGCAGATATCACCCGCCTACACTTATCTCTGTGGTTGGCCCTCTCTTTCCAGCTGGTGACACTAAGTGTTCGCAGGTCTGTCTGGATATTATCTCTCTCCTGTCTTCTTCATCTGCCTCATGGGTCCAAAGATTCGTCATAATACACAGTTTTCAAAAATTTGTAATGAGGCTTTATCTCCTTTAGATGTGCTCTAAGTTCCAGGGCCATATAAAACTAATGGTCTTATCAACGTTTTATATATTTGTATCTTAGTGTTGTGAGACAGAGACTGTGACTTTAACAGATGTTGAATGGCATAGTATACTTTATTTCTAGATTGTATTCTAGAGTGTATTTCTTCTCTCAGCATGCTGGAGCAGCTGAAGTTTGCACGCAAATAATTATATATGCAACAAAAAGAAATGTGACAATTATATCTGTGACAATGATATATTTGACAATCATGTGTGTAATAATGATATATGTGACAATTATATATGGGACAATTATATTTATCCCCCGTGTGGGTTCCGGGCCCCATTGTAGGGGAAAACAAGAATAGACCCACTGCCTCCCCAAAAGCATGTCGTAAGAGTCGACTAATTGGGGAGCTTCCTTTGAAGTCGGAGTGCATCTGCCGGAGAGGCAAGGAACCAACAGTCTGTATTCGAGAGAATGAGATCTGTAAAACTGATGCACACGCAACACTCAGGTTCTGGAGCAGGACTGCAGTTCAGTAGTGGACGAACAACCAGAACTTTCCGCCAGAGTGTACAGCTGGTGAACGTGAAGAAGAAGAATTATATTTATAATAATTATATATTTGATATAAATATTTGTGACAATAATATCTGGTACAGCTGTAGCAGCATTTGTCTTTATTATAACAATTTATATATCTGACTACTAACATAGCAACATATATCTTTCACAATCTGCATCGACATTTATATTTTTGACTGCCAATACTGGACTTCTATTTTTCAAAACATAAATTAGAACTTCTACCTAGTCCCCTTCCTTTAAAAAGTTCAGCTATCCTACGAATAACGGTCCCAAATTATCGAGGCCGAAAATATACCCTAACAGGGCCTCAGTCACATGTAAATTGCGTACTCCTTGGACTTAATTCGCGGACTTCCAGCGACTACTGCCACTGCGGAGAGTATCTCACACGGCGCAGAGCGAGGCTAAACTAGATGGCAGGGACGCAGCAGCTACCGCATCTCCTGCAGCTTCCTTCATTTTATTTGCTTGTGAGTCCCAGCCATCTAGTTTAGCCCCACTCCGCGCTGCGGGAGATACTCTCGGTGGTGGCGGTAGTTGCCGGAAGTCCGCAATTTACATATGACTGAGGCCCTGTTAGGGTACATTTTCGGCATCGATAATTTGGGACCGTTATTCGGAGGATAGCCATAAGTTCAAAAGACCTCCCCTCCCTCTCTCTCTCTCTCTCTCTGCTTGTGTGTGTGTTCTTCATTTCTTTATTCTTCTTAAATTACTTTAACAATGTGTTTTTCGCTAAATCATATTCATATGCATTTAAATTTATACCTTCTGGAAAATACTACTTGTAGATTTAATTCAGTGAACTACAGGTCTTAACAAACATACAAGTTTTAGATTTAGCCCAAATACTAATTTATCATATATTTTATTACACGTAATCTCTTATCGTCATGTTTGTTGAGGCCGCGTTTTTTAAAGTTATAACAAAGTGCACAGCCTTCGTATTTACTGTTTACTTGTCCTTTTAACTCAAGTGGGCGGCGGCCGAGAATCTCGCATTAAATGTGTCCTTATCTCTACCATTTTAGCAACAATTATATCCTAAACTTCAGATCACATCTCATCATCATAACACACAGATAATGCATTACTCGTAATCCTCTATCTTTATCTGTTTTCAGTTCCTGGTCAAAGGCTTTCAGTGTGGATGAAAACCCCCGAAACAACAGATAGTCTTTGACCAATTGGTCCAATTTCTCGCAGCTCGTCGCCATTTTCCATTCCTATGTTTTTTAGATCCGCTCCTTTGTTCACGGAGTTACAGTTAGTCCTTTCGGTTTTATATCTTTTCTGGATATTTGTATATTATATATATATATATATATATATATATATATATATATATATATATATATATATATATATATATATATATATATATATAATTATATTTTTAATATTTCTTACTCACTACACTCAGAGAAAAGGCGAGACGGACCTATAACCAGATTGTGACCGGTACCATCAGTATTGGAACTCTGCGCTGGCTGCTGAAGATGTGTACGGAGCACGCATGGGAATGCCCCGAGTGCTGTGATGTCAATTCTTGACTAAACTAACTAACTTGCTATTTGTATAGCCTCACAGCAGTTCATTAATCTCATTCACCTCGTACTTTCCGCCCGACCCGAACTGCTACTAACTCTTTGTACCTGTCCCACTCGTCCATATTGTACAATATTAAGTGTGTGTGTGTTTTTTTTTTTTAAATATACTTTCAACACAAGTTTTTTTATTGTTCAATTTTGTATAGTCATTTTTCCCCTCACTATTTTGTGTCTGTACCTTATCGCTCTAGCCCTATATATCGCTATTTTGGACGAAAAGGAGGAGAAATATTGACATCTTGAAAGATCTGAACATCAAGGAAGATTGGCTAACAAGCAGCATCCTGTCTCGGAAGCTGAAATATTTTGGTCATATCAAGCGCCACGACGGATTGGGGAAAAATTATATCAGAAGGCATGGTACAAGGAAGGAGATTAGGGGCCGACCAACACGAAGATGGGCACAGGATATAAGTGACTCCTTCAGTATGAAAGTGCATGAGGCGGGAGAGCTGGTGAGAGACCGAGTTTTCTTTCAAGCTGACCGTGATGAGAGCGACGTTCTGCAAAGGACCTGCTACATGATGATGATGATCGCTCGCGTTCTCTTCTAGCCACCCTTTAAGTCATCAACCCATCTGCTTCGAGATACAAGCTAAGTGATTTTGTGTATTTGTGAGGTATTGTTTGATTTATGTATGTGCTGATGAAGGCTCGGTAGGGCAACGTTCACGTTTTGTTTGTATTTGTTTTACTGTGAAGCTTGCTAATATACTTTTCGTTCGTTTTATTTTCAAATCTTTTCTGGGTATTTGTTGTAGCCCTCTTTTAGCCATCTAGTCTTGTATACTTTTATTTTACAGGCTTTTAGAAACATAATGGGAGCAGCCGTGTTGTAGCGGCTAGACGCTCGCCTGTGAATCGGAAGGTTGTGGGTTCAGCTCCTGACGGTACCTGACTCCCCCCCCCCCCAAAAAAAAAAATGAACTTGGCTTGCAGGTCGACCCAGTCTTAAACTGGTACCAGGTGAAGTCCTGGGAAGTAAAGGAGGACGGTGTGGTGTGGATCACAACATCCACCACGTGGCGATTGGTATAAAATATAGATCTAGCCCTATATGCCCAATACGCATAAAGGCACCGAAAAGGATTCTTTACTTTACGAAAACATAATAATATTCAATATTATTTAATATAGTGCTATTCCTACCACACGATGCGTAATGGCAGAAGTATGATGATGGTGATGATGATTTAATATATTGCAACAAATATCAGTTTTAATGAAGATGCTATAGTTGCAATGGACATAGATCAGAGAATGCTTTTCACACTATATCAGCACCTGATCCTTTCAGTGATTGATTATGGATACCTACTGTCTCAAAAAGTCTGATGGTTAAACTAGAGTACATACAGAATATGCGGCTCATTCTGGGTTTTACCAGAGACGCCCCAGTGGTGTGTATGCGACACATCCTTGGTTTGCCGACTGTTGCAGGTAGGTCACAGATGGGCAGCATCGTCTGGATGTTTTCTTCGGGGAATGTCGGTGTATTGGGAAATAAACAGGTGGACAGACTGACTGACTCTGCACAGCTTGATGGAATATTAACGCATGATAAGGAAGTCATGGGTTAGGGCCTTGTATGAGAACATGTACAATTCGGAGTAGCAAACGGATCACCAGTCTGGTAAAAGTAATGTACTCCACGCTCAAAGGGAAGGCGAGACGGACATATAACCAGAATGCTACTGGCACCATTGGTATTGGAAATCTGCACTAGCTGCCAAAGATGGGGTCGGAGCACTTATGTGAATGCCCCAAGTTCTGTGATGTCGATTCTTGATTCAACTCAACTGAACTCTTATTGAACATGCTGCTAAAGCCTATGACAATACATTAGATAATGAAGATGTTGTAATAGTTGTAGTAGCAGCAGCGGCAGTATTAGTAGTAGTAGTAGTAATAGTAGTAGTAGTAGTAGTAGTAGTAGTAGTAGTAGTAGTAGTAGTAGTATAGTAGTAATAGTAGTAGTAGTAGTAGTAGTAGTAGTAGTAGTAGTAGTAGTAGTAGTAGTAGTAGTAGTAGTAGTAGTAGTAGTAGTAGTAGTAGTAGTAGTAGTAGTAGTAGTAGTAGTAGTAGTAGTAGTAGTAGTAGTAGTAGTAGTAGTAGTAATAGTAGCAGCAGCTGTAGTAGCAGCAGTAGTAGTAGCAGCAGTAGTAATATCAGTAGTAGTAGCAGCAGCAGTAGCAGCAGCAGTAGTAATATCAGTAGTAGTAGCAGCAGCAGTAGCAGCAGCAGTAGTAGCAGCAGTAGCATTATTACAGTAACATTTTGTTTCAGTGTAATTACAAATGTAAAGTAAAGGACCTTTTTTCACGCCTTCATGCATACTGGATATATAGGGCTTGACTTGTTTTGTTTATAGAACAAGCGGCGCTTGGTGGGTGATGTGGTCAGTCAGCATCCAACCTGGTACCCCCTCAAGCCTGGACGACCTGGGTGCCAAGGTCATTTATGAAAAAGTCTGGCTACGTCAAGACCCCAACCCAAGACCTTCCGATTAGCAGGAGAGTGTCTAGCCTTTAACCACGGCGGCTGCCTAATTATATTTGTTATATAGTTTAATCATTAATTAAAAAAAAAAATATTTCGGTAAAAATATGTTAAAAAAAACAAGGGCATGTTTGATTTCATGAACAGTTTGCACATCTATCATTAAAGATCTAATTAATATAAGAAGGAGAAGGAGGAAGAGGAGAAGAAAACGAAGAAGAAGAAGAAGAATAGAGAAGAAGAAGAAGAAGAAGGAAGAGAAGAAGAAGAAGGATAAGAAGAAGAAGAACGAAGAAGAGAGAGAGAAGAAGAAGAAGAGGAGAAGAGGAGGAGAAGAAGAGGAAGAAGAAGAAGAAGAAGAAGAAGAAGAAGAAGAAAAGAAGAAGAAGAAGAAAGAAGAATAAGGGAAGAAGAAGAAGAAGAACGAAAAAAGAAGAAGAAGAAAGAGAAGAAGAAGAAGAAGAAGAAGAAGAAGAAGAAGAAGAAGAAGAAGAAGAAGAAGAAAAAGCAGCCTCAGCTCTGAAGTGCATAGCTAAAAATAGTTACCAAGGGAATCGAAGTGTTGACTCTCTATCGGTATCACTGAAGGTTCAAAATGGACAACTATGGCACGCCTGAATGCCAATTATTACTGTGTCTAAATACCTTGGGTATACTGTCCGGGACATGCAGACGTACGAGGGAATGAACGGCCGTGTATTAATTGTTTCCCCTGGTTACACACGCGAAAGCCGTACAAACACTCATAATGGACAAGAAAGACATTCTAAAAACCATTTATGAACGAATGTGGATGGAAGATAGAAGAAAAAAGTAAGGACGTGTGAATTTGGAATTAAACGTGGATCCGATAAGAAAGAGCGTATGAGAGGAAGCGTTGGACGTGCGGACGTCCAGTTTGCTACGGGAAGAGTTAATATCTACACCTATAGACATTATCTGAATCAGAGAACTTGAACCATACTAGGCTCGCACTTTGGGGGATTAACAACCCCTGATGTAATGTTGCAAATGGACAATATTCAGATGAAAATCCTACAGCTACAATTGCCAGAAACGCAGTTTAACCATAAGGTTATATTAGGGCCACCAACAGTTACAAAGTAAGCCAAAACCCAGACTGGTTAGAGCTGTTTCATCACTTTGCTGCGAGAGAAGAAGCACCAATCAGTGTGCCTAGTGTGCTTTGATGTCGATTCTTAAATCAGTAATCAGTAAGTAGCAGCTCGGATGGGGAAAATTCCTCAGATCATTTCAGAACAAAATTTTCGTACTTTAATCATTGTTACATTGTGCATGCTCTAGGAATTAAGACTAACAAGATCCACCTTTTCATCTATAAGTGCATCTTCGAGAAGCAGGATTGATTTTTTTTAGTTAATATTTCCCATGAGGGTTACTGAGCAATAAATTTGTGGACATTAAACCACTCTTTAACCTGGTTATTTCCCCCTTTGACCGACTTTGCAGCTTTCTGTTACTTAGAACAGTGGTTCCAAAAATGCAGACGGCGGGAGTGACCCGGTGGGACAGAAAGGTTCTTTGCTAATCAAATATAGAACTACATAAAAATGTTATTACAGTAGGAATTTGCAAATTCGTCTTATTTTACTTAATAATATATGGCTGACAAAAATCTCTTCATTTTCATTCATTCTTCTTCTTCTTCTTCTTCTTCTTCTTCTTCTTCTTCTTCTTCTTCTTCTTCTTCTTCTTCTTCTTCTTCTTCTTCTTCTTCTTCTTCTTCTTCTTCTTCTTCTTCTTCTTCTTCTTCTTCTTCTTCTTCTTCTTCTTCTTCTTCTTCTTCTTCTTCTTCTTCTTCTTCTTCTTCTTCTTCTTCTTCTTCTTCTTCTTCTTCTTCTTCTTCTTCTTCCTTCTTTGTTCACCGGCTGTAAGCTTAGGCGGAAAGTTCTGCTCGAAAGTCCATTTGGATTTTGGCTATGTGCCAGGGCCTGAGTTGTGTGCACACCCGTTTTACTGACTTATTTATGTGCAGGCGGTAGTTTCTAGCCACTCAGGCAGATGAACTCCGACTTTAAAGGAACCCACAGTTAATCGACTCCTGCGACATGCTTGTTGGAGAGGCAGTGAGTTTATCCTTGTTTTCC